GTTCTCTCTATGTCTATTAGGCAATTTACAGTGGCTGGTTATTAAGATAAACAACATTTTTAAAACTACCACCACAGTCACAGGAGAATGGTAGGTAACACATATTCATTACTTTGCTTAGTGCCAGTTGCTTGAGCCAGTTACTGTAAGAACCTAATATATATGACCTATTTTCATCTTCATAACAACCCTGGGAAGTGGATCCCATTATTTTCATTTTATAGGACAGAAAACTGCACAGGTCTATCTTTACTTTGGACCTTGCTTGAAGGCTAGATTAGTTAGGTTAACAGCTACTCTAACCAACATGTCCCACTTTTAAATTATTTAACCACAATAGGTATATTTCTCACTCATCTAACAGGTTGGTAGGTAGCTTTCTGCCACATGGTGATTCGGGCTCCAGAACTCCTGTCCCGTGACTGTGCCCTCTCCCATTCTGTGGGCCAATGGGTAAGGAGTGCATAGAGGAGTGCTGCAGGGTGCTAGCCCTGCGTGGGAGTGGTGCACGTCACTTGTGTTCACATTGCATTGGTCAGATCTCAGTCACATGGCTGTACCTAACTGCAAGGGTACCTAACGGAGGTGGCGGGGGAGAGACTGGAAAATGTCATTCCTGATGGGGTGGCCAATCAATGACAGTTTTTGCTACTCCAGATGGTTTGTTTATTAAGGCACCTAAAATACATTGTTGTAAGGTCGTTGCAACCTTGGATGAAATGGCTGGGCTCACAGGCAGCAATTACAGGATGCTTCCAGGGTGGGATTGTATTCTAAACAGAAATGTTCTATCTTTGAAAAAATATACACACCCTTCTGAAGTTCCCCCTGACAATGCCTCCTTGCAATTCATATTATTCAGCTATGCTTGATTTTTAAGATACTTCAGGGATAAATATCAACTTTGGGGATTTTATTAATAGTATTATTTTTTAATGAGTCTTTTGAAGTCCTTTTCATTATAAACAGCCTGTTTTCCCCAGAGATAATAACTTACAGTGCAAAATATTTGCATTTCACTTGAAACAAAACCAAGGGTTTGAATGTTTTAAATGTAAGCAAATCTAATTCTCTTGCGTCTAGAGAAACTGTATAATGAACCATATGTTTGTGACTTAAGCAGACAGATGTAGACGATTTCTTTCTCTATCCTTTTATTTTTTCTTAAAAAATGCTGGCAGAGCTCAAAATTGGCAGCAAGCAGCATATATCTCCACCCAGCCAACCAAACCACTGGAGTTGGAGTTGAAATGGGGGAGGTCTCTTAGGGTGCATGCAAAATTGGAGCTTTTCTTGGTTTTGGCTTCTACTTGGAAGCCCAGGGTCCACAGCTCACCCAGCCCTGTTTTTTGATGCCTTCAACCTAAGCAATTAGACATTTTGTCTTAGGTGACTGACTTTGTCTGAAAAGTTAGGTTGACTTTTGGGTTCATCTGGATATGGTTCTATGTCTCTGGGTCCTGCAACGAGATGGCATCCTAGATGCTGACAGAAAGCTTCTGAGCTGCCATCTCACTGCCAGAATGGGCCTTCCTCTGGTGGTGGCCATCTGGCTTTTTCCTCTTACTCCTCCCATAGTCCTGGAGTCACTTTGACCTTTAGTTGGGGTTACTGATATGGCCTTAACTAGTCATTTTACCTTCAGTCTTAAAAATATTTTCATTGATTTTAGAGAGGAAGGGAGAGAGAGAGCGATAGAAACATCAGTGATGATAGAGAATCATTGATTGGCTGCCTCCTGCATGCCCATTATTGGGGACCGAGCCCAAAACCTGGGCATGTGGCCTTGACTGATATTGAACCCTAACCCTTCAGTCCACAGGCCAACACTCTATATACTGAGCCAAACCAGCTAGGGCTTACCTATAGTCTTTTTAATTTTTATTTTAATTTTAATTTTTAATTTTTTTAATTTTTATTTTATTGATTTTTTACAGAGAGGAAGAGAGGGATAGAGAGTTAGAAACATTGATGAGAGAGAATCATTAATCAGCTGTCTCTCGCACACCCCCTACTGGGGATGTGCCCGCAACTAAGGCACATGCCCTTGACCGGAATCGAACTCAGGACCTTTCAGTCCGCAGGCTGACACTCTATGCACTGAGCCAAACCAGTTTTGGCTACCTATAGTCTTTTCTCCTCCAGTCTCCTCACTGAAGTGTTGTTTCTGTAACTCAAATCTGATTATTTCAGTGTCTTAATATTTATCTTTGGCTTCCTATTTTCTAGATACAGTCTACTAGTAAACCCCTTAACCTGGTGCACCTGGGCCTTTGTAATCCGGGATCTGCTTTCTGTTTGGATCATCTTGAGGCAATTCCACTAATATCCTCTCTGCACTGATAGCCTAGTCTTTCTATGTGTAGCCCAACCAAGCTACTTTCAGGAGATGGCTATTTTCTCTTATATATTGGGTGTCTTTGCAAATGCTGTTCCTTTTTCTTGCTTTGCCATGCATGTTCTATAGCATTGCTTTTCAAACTTGACTGTGCTTCGAATCACTCGAAGGGCTTCTTAAATCACACCTTCCTGGGCCCCACTCCGCAGAGTCACACCAGCCACTGCGCTTTTAAACAGAGGAATCAATCATTTTCTTCTGTCCATTTCTGATTCCTGCTGTCAGAATAGACCCGAGAGACCTGCTAAGAGGCCACCGATGCCACTCAGGAGTGAGGTTATGTGGGAGACGAAGTAGAGTGAGCAGTGATCCTGGAATCTGTGAAAGAGCAAACATGGCTGACTTAACAACAGTGACTGAATATGGCATCTTCTGATCCTGGAGGGAAGGAATGAATTCCATGGGAGTAGTAGTTTCCATGTCAGAACCGGAGAACACAGCAGTCAACAGCTAGCATGCAGATATTGGCATCTTCATTCCCAGAACAGCTGTGTCCCACCAGCTTTGAGAACCATCTCTGCTTGCTCAAATTGTTCATTCATAGATGGTCATTCTTGTCTCGCTGGTCCGTGCCCAGCTTTTTAGGTTCCTTTACTCCAGCTCTTTCTGTCAGTGTTGACCTAGAGGGCAGAGCTTCTGTGAGCTCTACACATTACCATCTGGCCAGGAACATAGTCCAGCACATGTTGGCTACCTCCACCCTAGGCTCTGCCCCCTGAACCCGCTCAGACACCTGGGCTTCTTCAGAAAGTGCTACCTGGAGCATTTGATTTTGGTTCTGGAATCTGGTTGGAGCATTTTGGAAAGTTGTGTGGTCCATCAGGTGCTCAGACTGACGTGATCTTCCTTGCTTTCTTTCTTTATATTGTTTCTTACTATCATAGAATGAATAGGGGATTTCTGAAAACAATTCAGATGGAAGCAACCCAATGAAAAAAAAAAGCTCAATATGCCAGAGCCTGGCTTTGAACAACAGATGAAAAAGAGGGCAGTTGCCCTGGCTGATGTGGTTGATTAAGCATTGTACCATGCACTGAGAGGTTACTGGTTCAGTTCCTGGTCAGGGCACATGCCCAGGATGCAGGCTCAATTCAGGTGGGGGTCAGCCAATCAGTGTTTCCCTCTCTCCTCCATGTTTCACCCCACCTCCTTCTCCCTTCCTCTTGCTCTAAAATCAATAACATTTTTAAAGAGGGCAGTCATTTGTTGACTGCAGGGGTTCATTGAGGAGTATGTGCTTTTTTTTCAAGTCTTCTAACCCTCATTTCCTCATCTGAGAAAAAGATAATGACACCTGCTTTTTCTACCTCTCAAATGTTTTGAGATGCTGTATGAGATAGGGATGTGTGAAATGCTTTGCAAATTTCAAAGGACTCTGAATTTAGGGTATTGACTTAACGGATAGTGGCTTCCAGGGCATTTAAAAATGGTTTGATTTACATTTAGTAGAAACTCGCCTAGTATGAAAACTTCAAAGTTGACATCTCAAGGTTATATCACAGCTCAAAGTTTTATAGTCTCCTGTCTTCTCAGAATATCGTCAGAGGAGAGCCAGGTGTTTCTGGGAAGAATTACTTACTGGAATGGTGTGTGTGTGTGTGTGTGTGTGTGTGTGTGTGTGTGTGTGTGTATGTGTGTATGTGTGTGTGTGTCTCGGGGGAAAGGAGGTGGAGATGGTCACCTGCCTTTTCTAGGGATAGTGAATACAGTGCCTTCCTAATAACTCTTCGATATTGTGTTCATACGTGGCAACCTGGTAGCTTATTAGCAATACAACTTATTCTTTCCTAGTCTCTTTTGTCCTAAAGGCTTACCCTCCTGTGTTCACCTCTTGGTTTCATGAAGGTATCCCTTTGTGGTAGCACCGTAGCCTTAGAGTAGATGGGAGGGACAGAGCAAAGCTCTGGGCGCTTCCTCCCAGAATCACCACTTTAGCTTCTTTCCCCACACCATACCCAAGCTCTGTTTTCTCCTGCACAGTTCCTCTGGTTTTCTGTATCCTTAAAACCTCAACTTTGGCTTGAACTCCCCCTAGTGGCATGTCTGATGCACCCCTGTTACTCTATTTCTTGTGGTACCACAGCTTTCTTTTCTGTTCAGCTCTATCACTAAATATGAATCCCAGTACAAATGCCGGATGAGAGCTTGCGTGATCCTTACTTGCCACTTAAGTAGGACATGGGAGGTGGGATTTGAATTGGAACTTTTGATTCTCAGATTTATACAATGGGAATGCCTCAGACAAAAGGATTATATGGTTATAGCTTTTCTAAAGATTTTCTTTCTGTGTTTTAAAAAGAATTGGTTATTTTACTATCTACTCAGCTATCTGAAAAGATCAAAATGTGGCAAATAATCTTTTTACCCTCCTTCATTGCATTGAAAACACTTTAATCACTCACCAAGTGTTCAGTATTTCACTATAAAAATATAAAGCATCATGTCTGCCCTTCAGAAGTTTACATCCTAGTTACACGGTGTTTAAATTATTCCCTTGAGGAAAAAAACTGAGTATCATGCATAACTTTTATTGGTGTTTAATATATCTACTTCATCTCACTGAAGAGAGATGCTCTGAGCATTTGCTTATTTATTTTTAAAGTCCTTTTCAGTGGAGAGAGAACCACAAGATAACAGTAATTACCCGGACGAACCGTGGAGGATAACAGAAGAGCAGCGGGAGTACTATGTCAATCAGTTCAGATCCCTCCAGCCAGACCCAAGTTCCTTCATTTCAGGTAATGAAGTCTGACAGGTGAGAATGTGGGTTCTAGGTCACTGTCTCCTATAAATAACAGTACACGTCTTGAGACATAGTTTGCACAAAATGAGTATGACAGCCTTCTGTGACTGCAAGTTTATTTCCTTCTAAGATCAAATTTCTTATTAGCTATAAACCATGTAGAAAAAACACTCGGCAATGACATTTAGAAAATGATGTTTCCGTTTCAAAGGGTTAACTCAGAGTTTGGTCCGGACATTGTGACTTATTAGCTGGAGCGGTTTTTGAAATGATAGATATGGCTCGAAGGCAACATCTTTAATTGCTAACTCATTATATTAGAGTTAGAGAAAGATGTAGTATAACCTCCTACAGCCAGCATTACAGTCTCCTTATGTTATATACGCCTCAAAAGTTCAAATTCATGCTCGTTTTCTTTGGCTCAAGACTTCCTCCTCTGGTTTTTCTGAGAGAAATTAAAATATGGGAGGAAAATTGGCCAGCATTTTTATGTCCACATGTCAGTTCTTTTTGGGCTGTCTTCAGAAATATGCATTCCTGTTGCATACTCATGTAAAATTCAAGCTGAGAGGAGTCGATTTAATTCCTCTGTGCCTCCATTTTACTGGGGTGGAGACTAATCAAACAGTGAAATAATAGAGTCTGGACTAAAAATTCATAAAACTTTCTTTTTGTACTTTAATTTTGTAGAATAACAATATGTTCTTGATCATTGTAACCTGACATCGAAGTGAGGACTAAGACTAATTTTCTCTTGTGAAATAAGGTGTGTAATGGAAATGTACTTATATAGATGCAACCATCATTTTCTGATTGATGGTAATGGCTTGATTGAAGGCAGACTATTGTAGAGACAAACAAATTAATATTAACAACATGATTTTAAAGAAATAAGGAGAAACAGTATGTACTGACTATTTGGTAACCATACCCATTGCTTAAGTGAGTTTCTTCAAAGTCTGTACAAATGATTAGACAAATACAAATAGGTAGCTGTTAGGAATATTTTTACTTTCTTCAAACTTTTCTTTAAAATATATTTTTATTGATTTTTAAAGAGAGGGATGGAGAGTTGGAAACATCGGTGAGAGAGAAACATCGATCAGCTGCCTCTTGCACACCCCCTACTGGGGATGTGCCCGCAACCAAGGTACATGCCCTTGACCGGAATCGAACCTGGGACCTTTTAGTCTGCAGGCCGATGCTCTATCCACTGAGCCAAACCGGTTTTGGCTCTTCAAACTTTTTTATTTTACAGAATTTCCAATGTAGATATAGCTGGAGTGGCTAGTATAACAAACACCTATCACACAGCCCCAACAATTTTGTTTATCTATATCCTCTCTCACTCCAGATGGTTTTGAAGCAATTACCAGATACTTTTGTTTGAAAATGCGGGGTGGGCAAAAGTAGGTTTACAGTTATGAGTACACGAAACAGTTTATTCTTTTATTATTTATTAATTATTGTATTATTTTCCATACAGACAACTCTAAGTCTATTTTGCCTACTCCTGTATTTCAGGATGTGTATCTAAAGATAAGGATTCTTTTAAAAATATAACCATAGCCCTAGCTGGTTTGGCTCAGTGGATAGAGTGTCAGCCTGTGCACTGAAAGGATTCTGGTCAAGGTACATTCCGGGTTGCGGGCTGAATCACATGTAAGGGCATGCAGCAGGTAGCCAATCAATGATTTTCTTTAATCATTGATGTTTCTATCTATCTCCCCCTCTCCCTTCCTCTCTGAAATCCATTACAAATATATAAAGGAGTTCACTTTAAGAAAAGAATAAAAATATAACCACAATTCATTGGCACACATTAAAATAGAAGAACATGATTTCCCTGAACAATGCCTTTTAAAAAATATTTTTAAAAAATCAATAAAAATATTTTTTATTGATTTCAGAGAGGAAAGGAGAGGGAGAGATAGAAACATCAATGATGAGAGAGAATAATTGATTGGCTGCCTACTGTAAGCCCCACACTGGGGATCAAGACTTCAACCTGGATGGTGACCTCAACCACTGAGCCACAATGCCCAGGCAGCTCTACCCATTTTTATATTGGGTTACTTGTCTTTATTTTGCAAAGATCTAGATACATTTGGTGTGCTACTATTATATCCCTGAGATATCAATGCTGTGTGTAACTCTTGAGAGTTCTGAGGAAATTGAGAGAATGAGGAGAGAAGTGCGAGATCTGAAGCTGAAAGATTTCTTATAACAATAAATCTGAATTCATGTTTTGATGTTTGACTGCTGACAACTTTTAAGCCTCCGCTCTCCCTCATGTGACTCCCCAGCAAGGTATGAAAATGGCTGCAGAGAACAAGGAAAGGAAGCTGGCTTGGAGTTTCTATGGTGGCTGGGGGTGGAGCTGCGCTGGAAGGCTCCAAGTCATGGTTTGAACTTTTGTCAGTACCAAAGGAGGGAGCACTGGGGCTTTCTCATTAGCTTCCCCTTTTGGCAGGGAGCAGCCATAGCACAACTGAACTTGTTAGCAGTTGGCGCCTCTTTGAGCTCCACCTAACCTTTCTGGGATACCATGCTACAACAGTCTCTACTTTTTGAAGGCCAATCATTTTGGGTTTGGGCCTAGTGTGATTTGAAGAAAGGACATCAAGGGGGAAAAAGAAGAATAACATGAGGGAACATTGTCTATAGCTGGTAAATAGGCTTTCAAGACATTTCTGACAAATGCTTGACAAGGTTGTTACATTGATGGCCAACAACCATATGCCAGTATTATTTTCAGGCTACTTTTGGGGAGAAGGCTTATTGGTTTATAGGGCCCTTTGTCTTTGATTCTTAATAAGCTATTAAAGGAAAACAAGTCTGTTTTAGAGTCCATTATAATTAACTAGAGGCCTGGTACACGAATTTATGCATGATGGGGTCCGGCTGGCCCATCCCAATGGGTGCTGATCAGGCCAAATCGACTGGGGGAGGGAACGTGAGGGGGGGGGAGAAGCGGCCAGCTGTCCCCACCCATGATCGGTAGGGGAGCCAATCAGGCTGGCCAGAGGGAGGGGCCACTGTCCTGGGAGGTTGGCCAGCCACAGTGCACATTATAGTGACCAGTTGTTCCAGTCATTCCAGTTCTGGCATTCCAATTGCTTGGCTGTGTGTGTGTGTGTGTGTGTGTGTGTGTGTGTGTGTGTGTGTATATATATATATATATATATATATATATATATATATATATTGTTTTAAGGCCAATTAGAAGATTTGTCATTGCCATGGAATGACTTTTGACTTTATCTGCTTAACATAGAGCTTGGTGCTTTTATTTGACTATTTTTTTGTGTTAGAATTGAGGCTTTTGAACTGCAAAGTTTTTTTGAGAGTTGGAAGCATAAAAATTTCAATCTCAATAATGGTTGGGTCCAATATTTTAAGTGTAGTTGGGACTTTAGTGCAGATTTGTTAACATGTAAAATGGAATGAGTACCTGATTTAAATTGATATTGGTAAATTTACAATGATTAAAGAAAGTAGTAGGAGGTTCTCAGATATGTTTCTTAAAGAGCCACCAAAGAGCTTAAATCTTACCAAAACTCTTTCCCAATAGGCCTGTCTTATGTCTTTGTGATAAGATTAATGGTGTTATTAAAAATTTTTTTTTTGCTATTTTCTACCATGATTGTGTATTGATTTTTATTAAAAGTGCTTGACAGATTTTTACTTTAATAATTTTGAAATTTGTCTTTTGAATTTTTAGTAAAATTTTGCACATTTTCAGTAAAAGTGAAGCAGGAATTAAATCATAAAATTTACATGTTATAATAAGTGTTATGTCATTGCTTCTTTGCCCTATTCTAATTTATATATATATTTTTAAAAAGCTGTTCACATATTATTTTTAGACACATGATTTGTATTTGCTTTAATGAATAAATGTTGTGCTTGTGGTTATATGGTAGAGATTGTTGAAAGGAAAAATGGTGATTCATTGACATTAAATATAAAAGCTGCTCTAGATATTAATTAATAATTTATTTAAACAATGGCTGTTGACAGGTTCAGTGGCCAAGAACTTCTTCACCAAATCAAAGCTTTCCATTCCAGAACTCTCCTATATATGGTAAGTACAATTAATGCCATATGGTATGATATAGTCATCCATATTCATTCTTTAGTTCCTACTGTTGCATTTTAAAAGTCTTATTTCTTGAATTTTTTTTAACAGACTAAGAGAGTGAATAGAATTTAAATTTTTGTTGCTGTGAAAATTAAATAAGTTCTATGAAATCCACAATGAACAGTATCTGGCACATACTGCATATTGTATGTATTAGCTATTATTTAAAAAGTAATTTCCTAGTTATCTTCATCTAGATCCCTTTTCAGTCTAAGTGATTGTGTGGGCATATGAGAATTTCCATCTTGTGTATTTTATTTTCAGATTTTTCTCTTTGGTGTGATGCAAGTAACCAGAGGACCTTGAAAAGCTATTCTTTTATATTTTGTGAGGCCAGGTGAAATGTCTTGGAATGAAGTTAAATTTGACTATTCTAACTGCCTGTAAATTTAGCTGGACCCTAGTTCAGAACTGCAGCTGTGGAGTGTATTGTACGTTACTGCTTAGCTGGCCACAGCCCTGACTCCAAAGGACTGTGCTGGGACAGTCCAGATGGCTCCATTTGCATTTATGAAAACGCTCGGTGCCTCCATAAACTCGCAGCTGCGTGTGGGCTGTTCTTCCTCACGACTGGGCAGGAGCCTGTGCTGCTATAAATATATAATTAAAACACTGGCATATTTATGTAAAACTTTTTTCCATGAGATTCACAGAAACGATGACATCATTTTGTCATGTTTTGTGCATTTTATTGGAAAGCTACTGCAGTGATCCTTGTGCATGCCGATGTTATCTAGGATCCTGAGCTAGAGTTATTCGCCAGCAATATATTCTAGCGTATATATTTTTTTAAGTAACAAGCCTTATGTTAGATTTTAAAGCGAGAGGAAAAAAGAAATTATTGTTTTTTAGAAGAATACAATCTGTTTTGGCAGAATTCCCAGTCTTACCATAATTGGCATGAGGCTTCCTATCTTTTTGTGGGGACATATACATAAAAGCTGAATGATATTCTCTCCATTCAGTGTTGGCAGCAGTCCCCTCGGCCTGCTATTTCAGGGCTGGTACATATTAAATATTTGGGGGAGGAGGATGTGAATGGAGCTTACCTTCAATATTCTTTCTTTCAAATAGTAACACATTTCTAGTACACTGTTATGTCTTTTAAAAAAATATATTTTATTGATTTTTTTACAGAGAGGAAGGGAGAAGGATAGAGAGTTAGAAACATCCATGAGAGAGAAACATCAACCAGCTGCCTCTTGCATACCCCCTACTGGGGATGTGCTCGCAACCAGGGTACATGCCCTTGACCCTGGGACCTTTCAGTCCGCAGGCTGATGCTCTATCCACTGAGCCAAACCAGTTTCGGCCTGTTATGTCTTATGTCTTTACTTGTTCTAACAAGTATACTTGCCTCTGTACACTTAAGAGACAGGTTGAGCTTAGAAGGTCTTAGTTACTTTGGCAAATAGGTTTCTTTTGTGCTGAGTAAATAGGCCTGTGCCTTTCAGTGGGAAACAATAACTGAAGCAAAGATAAGCCTTTTCAAGACTCTCCCTTTCTTCCTTTCTGTCTTTTCTGGTTCCAGCCTTCCCTAGTTGCTAGTTTTATCTGAAAACATAATTCAACCAGTATTTCTTGAACTTACTTACATGTTCCCAGGAGAGGATTCTCAAGCAAAATTTTGATATAACATTTGTGTGCCTTGAAAAGTTCAAGGTTTTTCCTTACAGCTGAAAAAAAAATGAAGCGCTCATTCCTGAGCTCCAGTAACTGTTTAATGGCTGGGACAACTGTCAAAGGACCAGGGCCAGCTGTTTTGAGCACCAAGTCAGGAGCTCTTTGTATCACATGGCTGTCAGCTGTGGAATTCTGGGCAGCATTTAACTTTTTGTGCCATGTATGCTTGTCTTGTATACTTAGAGTTGTAAAACAGACCTATCAGAGACCTGAAGAACTTAAATTTTTATTTCTAAAGTATTATTGATACCAATGCTGTCTGTCATATACTTTTTCTTCCTCCAAATGGCCCCCCGAGATTTCATATGGGTTTGGGGACTCTGCAGGGTCAAAGAAGCAGCCAGGAACCCCTGGGAATTGTGTTTGCATGCCTGGGGCTGAGTAAAATTTCCTCTAAGCCCAGGGTGAGGGACTCATGACATCTTTTCTATTTAGGGAGCTGAGTGATGCTGACTGCGATGGAGCCCTGACCCTGCCCGAGTTCTGTGCTGCATTTCATCTCATTGTGGCCAGGAAGAACGGCTATCCACTGCCCGAGGGCCTCCCTCCAACTCTGCAGCCAGAGTACCTGCAAGCAGGTAAGGCCTCCTCAAAAATCCTAAACCCTACACATTTTCCATCCAGGCCTTACAAGGAACTTTCATTTCTTAGATGGTGTCCAGATAATTTGGAGAGTCCTTGGAATCTACAGTTATTGTCCTTTAACCGATATTAAGCTTTTGCATCTTATAATATGAGTAATAGGGATGATCTGGGTGCGAGCCATCTGCTACTTTCATTCTACTGGTAGTACTCTCTGGATGGATTTGAACCAAAGTCACTTGCCCTTTCATGAGAATTATGGCATATCGCCCAGCTGATATAAAATGAAGAGGAAGATCTTCCTATACAGCCAGGTGCTGAGTTGGCGTCTTTAGGCACATCCCAGTGTCCCCAAGTGGCTTTGGGCAAGGAACTGAAATAGAAATCTTATACATAATGAAAAAGTTAAAAAAAATTACATAAGCAGTGAAATCTGCAAAGTGCCGTAATCGTAAATATATACTTGATGAGTTTTTACATATGTATGCATTCATGTAACTACAATCAGATAATGATTTAGAACATTCCAGCACACCAAAAGGTTGGAATAGAACTGTCTTTCCCAATTACTCCACAAACCCTTTGGATAGGAAATATATCCAACATTTATAGCAATTCCTTCAGAAGACTGGACAAATTAGCAGTTTCTCTTGCTCCTTTCAGAGGCAGTGGGCAGTGATCTGATTTCTGTTACTCAGAGAAGTATAGCTTCCATCGAAAGAGTCCAGAAACATCTGGTGCTTTCAACAAACTTTCTCACATTTTAGGCAGGCAAGGTCTTTTCAGAACATGAGAGTTAGTCATGGATGATTATTGACAAGATGGAGTAGTGTCAAAAGAAAACATGATGAGTCATTAGTAGAGTATAAGTTTTATAGTTAGATCTGGAAAAGGCCTTAGATGACCTTATCTTGTCCCCTCCTCAAATGACAACATATTCAAAGTGGTCAGTGACTTATCTGAATTAATCTTGGGGTCTCTGACTCTGAAATACAAAGTCTGTCATTTTCTGTATTAGGTAGTGGGAGAGTGGAGGGGGTTGAGCTGACACTTGAAGGGAAGAGACCATGTATATGGCTGATGCCAGTGACAGGTAAACATGTTAGGAAAGAGTGACCCATTCTGGGATCTTCCCCAAATGCTCCCATAAAATATATGAAGGGTAGGCTTCAGAGAGCAGAAGTTAGAGTTCCATTTCAGAGCTCTGGCTTTGCCATAGCAGCTGCTTTCTGACTACAGCTGGCTGTAACTCCAGCTTGCTACCCTTCCTTGTCAGTTGGGGAAGACTCTCAGTGGTCTCCAGGAACTAGTTTGAAATTGGGCAGCATGACAATTTGCTCTATTTCTTCTTTGGTGTCTCTCTCCATCCCTGTTACCCTCTACCCCCCTCTTCTTTCTTCCCTCTCCACCTCTTCCTCATTTCCCCCTTCCCTCTCTCGCCATACCTCTTTCTTGGATTGAGGCAAAGAAGCATCAGTATTTCTCGGGCTATCTTGGCAACTGTAACAGCTCAAGTGCCCATCAAAAGTGGTGGTACATTTACACCTTGGAATATTATGCAACAGTAAAAAAAAAAAGGATCTCTCACCCTTTGAGATCACCTGGAGGGACCTGGAGAATATGATAAGTGAACTAAGCCAGTCAGAGAAAGATAAGTATCACATGATCTCACTCATATGTGGAATCTAATGAACAAAATAAACCGATGAATAAAATGGATGCAGAAATATAGAAGCATCAAACAGACTGTTGAATCTCAGAGGGAAGGTGGGAAAGGGTAGGTGGGCGGGAAGAGATCAACCAAAGAACTTGTATGCATATATGCATCACCCCACGGACACAGACAATAGGGTGGTGAACATTTGGGTCAGGGGCTAGGGTTGGTTTAGAAGAGATCAATAGCAGGAGAAGGGGGACATATGTCATACTTTCAACAATAAAGGTAAAAAAAAAAAAGAGCACCAGGCAAGAGACATGTCACTTCATTTGGAATGATGCCCCTTGATTCTTCCCGGTCTTCTGTGAAGGTTGTCAGCATGCATTTATACAGAAACAACTGAGGAATCCATCACATACCCTTCAATTAAACAAAAATCGCACATCATTTCCAAAGCTTTGGGATCAATCTTAAATAATATTTGTATAGTTCGAATGAAAAAAACACAGGAGACCTCATAATCCCCATCAAACTCATTGATAGTATATTTTAGGAAATCCCTGAGGGTTTAACTGTTAACTTAATGTTTTACCACCCATGGACAAACTGTTAAAAATCGGGACTGTCTCACCAAAAGCGGGACGTCTGGTCACCTTAATATAGCTCAAGAAAATGGCCAGAACTTTCTAGATCTCTGTGCTTTTAGACTTTGAAATATGAGTGATCCTATTGATTTGGGGGGTTCATTTTATGCTATCCCTTTGACTTCTTAAAAAACTCAGCTCATGTTCCAATAGTCTTCTAATTGATCTATAATCACTCTTTTAAAAAAATCAAATCTTTGATAAGATTAGTGAAAAGTGTGAACTTTGTTGATACCATCATGCATTCACAACTATATAAGCTTCTTTTCAATAAAATAATGAAACAGGAATTGTATCTGATTTCCCTTCTAACAGTGACAATTAAAGGGCTGAATTGGAAGGAAATGTTGGATTATTTGGTGGCTTACACGTGGGCCTTTTGATTTTTTTTTTTTTATGTCTGGGTGATGGGGTAGAATCTGGTATAGATTTTTACTGTAGTTTATTAAAAATATTTCAGTACTTACTATGAGAGGCACTGTTTTATTCTCTCTGGTCATAATGCTGTATAAAAAAGAATTCCTACCACCATGGAACTTGCTGGCAGTTAGAGGATTGATGTTAAATAAACTCACATATGTGTAATTGGAGCCAGTGGTAGGTGCTACAAAGGGGAAGTACAGCTGCAGTAAGAGAGTGAATGACCTTAGGGAAGACTTTCTTAAATGTCTGAGCTGAGACAGGAAGGACGAGCTAAGGAAGGGCTGTATAGGTGAAGAAGGTGAAAGAGTGGGCTCTGTTAGAGGAGACAGCACGTATGTTGCAAAAGGTCTGAGAGGGACTTGGAGCAGTGCAGGCCACAGTGGTTGGAGGGCAAAGAGCCAGGGTGAGGGGGATGGAGCTGAGGCTGAAGAAGAAGGTGAGGAACAAATCTTGGGAAATGATGTTTTTTTTTTTAAATATATATTTTATTGATTTCTTACAGAGAGGAAGAGAGAGGGATAGAGAATTAGAAACATCGATGAGAGAGAATCATCGACCAGCTGCCTCTTGCACACCCCCTACTGTGGATGTGTCCGCAACCAAGGTACATACCCTTGACCGGAATCGAACCTGGGACCTTTCAGTCCGCAGGCCAATGCTCTATCCACTGAGCCATGCTGGTTTCGGTGGGAAATGATGTTGACGTGTATCAAGCAGGAACTGAAATGACACAATCAGATTTGTTATTTGAAAGAATCCTGCTGGTTTTGGACCACAGAGCAGGTTTTGAGGAGTAAGGGTGGAAACAAGACCAGTTATGGCAGTAGTCTAGTCAGGAGATGTGGGGAGGTTGACACTGGGGATATGACAATGGCATGCAGAGATGAGGACATGCTGGAGGGAGATTTAGCAGTTAATCGATGACATTTGTAGTTTTTCAAAGTGTTAGCTTTTTACCCAGTAAGGGGGCCTCATGATAAGGTATTAGTCATGCAATTCTAGTGAGATCACTGATAAACTAGAAAGAGAAATCTTATCTTGGATTTCTGCTCTTGGGGCTGGATTGAGAAATAGTACTTGGGAAAGTGTTATGCTGTTTTTTACCAAGGAAAAAGTGAGGCCACCTGGTATAGTCAGACCCTGGTTTGCCCGCCCTGACATGAGTGAAATTCAGACCAGAATAAGCAAATGAACAACTTAATCTACTTGTATTCAACTGTCCAAGTTGTTACTCACTGGCCAGTACTTCACTGCATAAGGAAGTTGGTATTTCAAAACCCTGGTGGGGATGGAAGGGTGAGAAAGGATGAGCAACAATGCCAATTCATTTTATTTATTTATTTTTAAAAATATATTTTATTGACTTTTTAGAGAGGAAGGGAGAGAGATAGAGAGCTAGAAACGTCAATGAGAGAGGAACATCGACCAGCTGCCTTTTGCACACCCCCTACCGGGAATGTGCCCGCAACCAACGTACATGCCCTTGACCGTACATGCCCCTGACCGGAATTGAACCTGGGACCTTTCAGTCCGCAGACCGATGCTCTACCACTGAACCAAACCGGTTTCGGCTATGCCAATTCATTTTAAGCACTTGATTAAAAACATTTTTTAAAACATGATGGAGGCTTCCCCATACCAACAAGCAGTTCTTGTGTCTGAGAACTCAACTCAGTTCTGATGCTTTCTAACTAGAGATAGAATCAGATTCCACATGTACTGAGCTCCATGAGACTACTCCTCTTCACATCCCAGTAATAAGTCTTGGTTGTTACTGTGCCTCTGACCAACTGGCTAGAAATTACAGGCTTCTACAACCCACTCCTCAGGCTTAATTAATTTGCTAAAATGGCTCACAGAACTTAGGAAAACCTGTTTACTCACTAGATTACTAATTTATTATGAAGGATATTAAAAGAATAGCCTGATGAGATGATGAAAGGATATAAAGGGTGAGGTACTAGACAAAGGAGCTTTTGTCCTCATGGAGGTTGGGTCCCAACACGGTGGCACATGGAATTGTTCTGATTTCCTAACATGAAAGCTTTCTGAAAAAAAAAGTGTTTTTTTTTTTTAAAGTTTTTTAATGAAGACTTTATTACATAATCATGATTCACTAAGTCATTGGTCATTTGTGATTGATTCAATGTCAAGCCTCTCTCCTTCATGGGAAATAAGAGGCTGAGGCTAGTCCAGTCCTCTAACCACATGGCAACCTGGCTAACATTCTTTGATGGGTTTTATCATCTCATTAACATAAAAGAGACACCATTGTGCTTTCATTTGAAATTCTAGAGGTTTGGAAACTCTGTGCCAGAAACAGGGAGTAGGACCCAATATGTATTTCTGATTATAAATCATTATATCACACATGGCATTAAATTTTTGATTTCTTAATAGCTGGTCTTAACAAATTTGATTTGTAGCTTCTGTTTATTGTCTACTTCAATCTGCTTTTCCTCTTTGGAATATTGACAAAATTTCTAGTTGTTGAGATACATCTTCTTTAATTACTTTCTAACACAGTGATGAAACAAGCCACTTCTAAGAAATAGCATGAGTGTTACATAAGTATTAGCTTACCTAGTGACATGATTTTTGTTCATGCATCTCAACTAATAGCCCCCGTCACTGTTCTGTATTAGAAATTCATAACATGATTCTTATTTCCTCTATTGTAAATCAGCAAGAACCTGTGCTTTTACTTTTGTTACTCTTAACCAAAAGAAAGGAGTATTTTGTAAAATTTTCTTGGGTACATACCATCATAAGATTCTGTTTCCAATAAGAATAGCTAAACTATAGTGTTTCCTTTATTGTTTATAGTATTTTTAAAAATATATTTTATTGATTTTCCACAGAGAGGAAGGGAGAGGGATAGAGAGCTAGAAATGTCGATGAGAGAGAAACATCGACCAGCCGCCTCCTGCACACCCCCTACTGGGGATGTGCCCGCAACCAATGTACATGCCCTTGACGGGAATCGAACCTGGGACCTTTCAGTCCACAGGTTGATGCTCTATCCACAGAGCCAAACCGGTTTCAGCTATTGTTTATAGTTTTAAAACTATTACCATAGTTACTACTATTTAAAAATTATGCTAGTAGTATATAGTTAAAATTTAAGTATTGTGATAGTAATGGTTATACAGAAAACAACTATGTTACAACATGAAATGCTAAAGACCATTTAGCAGGACTGCTGGCAATTTAAGTCCCTGTTCAACCATTTACCAACTATATGACTTTGAGTAAGTTGTTTAACTTCCTGGTTCCTCAGTTTCATCATGTGTAAAAGGAGATGACAGAAGTTCCAGGGAAGATCGATCTATCTATCTATCTATCTATCTATCTATCTATCTATCTATCTATCTATCATCTACATCTCAGCATGATGAGTGCCATAACTAGTTGATAGGAGCCAGCTGATTTTGTTGTTATATAGGAAACAGTGCCTGCTATGACTATACATATTCTTTTTGTTTCTTCTTAGCCTTTCCTAAACCCAAGAGGGAGTGTGCGTTATTTGATTCTTATTCTGAGTCCATGCCAGCAAACCAACAACCTCATGACTTGAATCGGATGGAGGTAAAAGATCTTCATATGTAAATTAGTTAAGGATGTATTTAGAATTAAACCCATTAGCCTATGTACTTTACAAATTTTGGAAAATCTACTTTTATAAAATTTTCTCTTCATAGTTAGTTAGTTTTTACTTTGGGGCTTATCCTTTCAAAATTTGATCCCAGACACATCTATAATTATCTTTTTTACTTTCTCCCCAAAACTAGATTTGGTGAAATAAACAAAATGGTCTCTTGACTTTATAGAGGTGAAATTGAGGTATAGCCAAACTAAACCTGAAAAATGCTAGCCAAGTTACTTATTTAACCAAGCTTTAATTTCAAAGTAAAAATTCTAAAGTTGTATTTTTAGTAGCTGAGTATTAACAAAATATAATGAACCAGAACAGTTTTGAGAGGAGGTTTGAAAAGTATATCTGAGGGCCCCAAACCACATTCAAAGCTGCCTTCTCCCTCAGGGTGTTTAGCTTTTGGATCAGATGAAGATTGATTTGGGTGATCCCCAAGAGAAACCTGAATTTCCACCATGGTGGGCCACTGATGTAGGTTCTTAGCCACATGCTTAGTATTCCTTCACTATGCATTGATAAATAGTTGTTATAGTTATTGTTAATTTCAGCACTATCATCCTCATCCTCATCATGGTTGCAATGATAACAACTTATGATACCTACTTTTCCTGTCCTAAAAATCTAGAACTGTTTAATAAATGGAGGTGCTTTTGAAGACATTCAGCCGTTTAAACTTCTTTTTCTGTATATTGAATATGATGGAGAAACATATAACAAACATATAACCACTTTTTTAAAATTTATTTTTTTATTTAAAAATATTTTTATTGATTTCAGAGAGGAAGGGAGAGGGAGAGATAGAAACATCAATGATGAGAGAGAATCACTAATCGGCTGCCCTCCATGCATGTCCCCCACTGGGGATTGAGCCCACAACCCAGGCATGTGCCCCTGACCGGAATCAAGCCCAGGACCCCCAGTCTACAGGCTGTTGCTCTATCCACGAGCCACACCAGCCAAGGCCATATAACCACTTTTGATGATCCTCAGTTTACTCTGGGGATGCTGGCAGTGTCTGGAGAGGCTTGTCTGTCAGGCCAGGACATACAAACTCCATAGCTCTCTTATGTAGTTGCTCTGTTTTTTGTTTGTTTGTTTCTGCTGAGTCCCCCTGCTTGTGTAAAATTATGAGATTGTTAGGTAATTTACTATAATGTGTCATAAATTATTATTCTTGCTGGATAAATGTTTTGTTCCAGCTTGCATGGTATCAAATGGTCTTTGCCCTTTCAACAGAGACAAATAATGTTTTTTTTTTGGAGAAATTATTTCGTGACTTATACACACATGGACCTTATGTGCAGCTAAGTTTTATATACTTTTATAACCTTTAACTGGTTCCTTTGAGGGGGTAGGTTAAAAGCTACCTAGTCTTTGCTTTGTCCTATCCAAACAAGAAAACAAAAGAACAACAAAAAAACTCCCAACAAAACTGTTATTTTTAAGGATGTGGTGCTTTTAGATACTGATGTAATAAACAAAATTCAGGGGTTAATTGATGATTTGGTCATTTGAGCAGTATAGGTCAGAATTTAATAGCTAATAATTAAATATTTCATGGTCTTCTAAATTGTTTCATTCATTGTTCTTTCTCCACCCTTTTAATCTTTCATGAATGTGTGCATGGGGTTTAAATAGATCTTGGTCATCAGCCTGTGAGGGATGACTCCCTTATAGGTGCTTGTGTTAGGAATGAAGCTGTAGCTGATTCAGGTCATGAGAAGTTTACTCAGCAGTACATCTTTTTCTAAAGACAGCAGAGCTGTAACCATGTTCCATCAAGATATATAATTTCAGGTATACTCCTCTTAACAGAGTTTCTTTTGTGTACACCTTTACTGAGGTATAATTTACATACCATAATCATTTAAAGTATACAATTCAGTGGTTTTCAGTATACTAAAATCTATGCAACCAACACTATAGTCTAATTTTAAAGCATTTTCATCACCCCCAAAAAGAAAGTCTGTATTCCTTAAGTCATTCACTATTCCCCAGGACCACAGTCTCTGATAATCACTAATCTATTTTTTGTCTCTGAATTTGCCTATTCTGGACATTTCATATAAATAGAATCATATAATATGTGGTCTTTTATGACTGGATTCTTTCAGTTAGCATGATGTTATAAAGTTCATTCATGTTGTGTCAGTGCCTCATTCCTTTTTATTGCTGAATAGTATTCCGTTGTATGGATATGCCACATTTTGTTTGTCCATTTTTCAGATGTTGGACAGTTAGGTTATTGTTTCCACTTTTGAGATGTTAGAAAAAATGCTGCTATGAACATTTATATATACGTTTCCCCCCCTGATTTTTGTTTTTCTAATGTTTGCTTATGAAAAAGCACATAAATTAGAGGTTTGTTCTTTTAAAAAAATATTGTTTTATTGACTTAAGAGAGGAAGGGAGAGAGATAGGGAGAAACATCAATGGTGAGAGAATTATTGATTGGCTGCCTCCTGCATGCCCCCTACTGGTGGGGGGATCAAGCTTGCAACCTGAACAAGTGCCCCTGGCCAGAATCGAACCTGGGACCCTTTAGTCCACAGACTGATGCTCTATCCACAGAGCCAAACTGGCTAGGGCACGGGTTTGTTCTTGACTGAAAGGACAAATGCTACAAGAGTCTCTGGCTGAATCCTACACGGGATTTAGATTTTATATGTGGTCTATATCTATGCCTTAATCTGAATGTTTATTCCTCTATGCATATATCTATTTTAATACAATTAACTATCCCTCACTAGGAACCTAAAAAAATAATATTAAATGTTAAGGTTTACTGAAGACAGAAATATTGGCAAGACATATTGCTTTTAAAACATTTTCATCATATGTGCACATCATTTAATTTTTATTCAATCTGTATAATTAATTTTTTTTTCCTTTTCCAAGAAGTTATCTATTAAAGATGGGGCTGACTTTCCTGTTTCTACCCAAGATTTGACTGGTGATGACAAACAAGGTATGAAAAGAATGAGTTTTTTTTTTCCTTTAGGGACATTCTGCCTATATTTTGTTTATCCACTTGTATTGGAATGGTTGGCTATCAGAGCACATGAGGACATTTATCAGTGCATGAACACATTTGGATGGATTAAGTAGTTCAAATTGTCCCCAAACTATAGTTCATAAAATGGTAACAAGAGCTTGAATGTCCAAAGTCCCCCTAGCTCATTGGCTTCTTACTCTCTGCTGACCCTCAGGCAATCCTGATTCCTTTCATTGGAATCTGGTCCTACTAATTAGGACATGACTGGAAGCTGCAATAATTGAGAGCTTAGCATCTTATTTTGGCAGATGTGATCCCAGAGCATCAATACAAATGCACATATGTACCAAGCTCTAGCCTATGAGGAAATTATCTTCTGGAGGGAGTTTCTGTCTCTGGGCTTTATCTGTGACTGTGGGGCTCTGATAAAGCTTTGCCTATCTTTCTGGGCGGATGAGAAGCGGTACAACACAGTGATCCATGTTATAACTATTACTGAGCACAGAGATAAGTTGGCCTGGGAATATGAAGAAGAGCATGAGGGACCCCCCCTCTTGACTCCATACTTCTGTATAATGCTTTATAATCTACCACATCTTTTCTCATACACTATCTACCCAGAACTCACAAAACCTAGTGGAGGGTGGTATGGTCATTGCCTAAAATTTAGAAATGAATAAACTGAAGTTCAGACTCAGTATGAATCATTTGCTTAGTAAGAAAAAGAGAGAGGCCCTCGCTGGTTTGGCTCGGATGGTTGGGTGCCGTCCTATACACCGAAAGGTTTCTGGTTAGACCTGGTCTAGGCACATACCTGAGTTGTGGACTTGATCTCCAGTAGAGGTCATGCACCAGGCAGCCCATCAGTGCTTCCCTCTTCTCTCCTCTCTCCTCTCCTCTCCTCTCCTCTCCTCTCCTCTCCTCTCCTCTCCTCTCCTCTCCTCTCCTCTCCTCTCCTCTCCTCTCCTCTCCTCTCCTCTCCTCTCCTCTCCTCTCCTCTCCTCTCCTCTCCTCTCCTCTCCTCTCCTCTCCTCTCCTCTCCTCTCCTCTCCTCTCCTCTCCTCTCCTCTCCTCTTTATAAAAGTAAATAAACTATTAAAATAAAGAAAAAGAGAGGGGCTGAAACGGGTTTGGCTCAGTGGATAGAGTTTCAGCCTGCGGACTGAAAGGTCCCGGGTTCGATTCCGGTCAAGGGCATGTACCTGGGTTTTGGGCACATCCCCAGTAGGAGGTGTGCAGGAGGCAGCTGATTGATGATTCTCTCTCTCCCTCTCCCTTCCTCTCTGTAAAAAAATCAATAAAATATATTAAAGAGAGAGAAAGAGAGAAAGAGAGAAAGAGAGAGAGAGAGAGAGAGAGAGAGAGAGAGAGAGAGAGAGAGAGAGAGAGAGAATAAGAACCAAGATTTTCTCTCAGGCCAGTGCTCTGTCTAAAAATCATTGAAGCTATTTTAGGTTTTATTGTTGAGACCTGCCATTAATGCAACTTGGAATGGGAGTTAAACATGAAAAGTAAGTTTTCCCTTAGGAAACAATAGTTGCATGCTTGGGAGAGGCAGGCAGAACTAGACATTGTCTATGACAGAATGTACTCTGACCACTCTCTTTATTAATTAGGGGGTCTTATACTCGAGTCCATATTGGAATAACCAACTGAGCTCTAAAAAAAAAAAAAAAAATGAAGCCTGGGTTTCACTTCAAGAGAGATTCTGATATCATTGGTCTGGATGTCAGGAATGAAAGGGGAAATTTCTAATATCTCCTGGTAATACTCCTCTTAGCCACTAGAGGCGCAGTCTCAGGAAAGTTGAAAATACTGCTTTGTTCTCTTGGGAGAACTTATTTTCATATTTTAAGAGTTCTTTATTGTTTTACTAAGTGCTATAGCAGTTATAGAAGTTTGTGACACCATTTTAATAAGTGATGACTAGAGATTCTTTGTTTTAATGTAATCTTCCAGAGAAATAAAGTGTTATAGTGTTTTTTTTTTTTTTTTATCTTTCCCCCCTCTTCTCTCTCTGTTCTTTAAAAACAAAATGTCACTAGCTTTGAAAAGTACTATGGATGAAGCTGTACCAAAGGACACGTCTGAGGATCCAGGTAGGAGAAAACTTTCATTTTAAAATATGTATGTAATTATTTCTAATTAAAAAAGTCTCCAGTAGTTCTATTGAGTAGAAGATTGGCATATCTGTGATAGTATGTATAATTCTCTTGAAATATTTGTTTTGTGTTTTATTACAAGGACATTTTTTTTACCCTTTCCCCTTTTCAGGTATTTCTTCTTAAGTTCTGAATTTAGGTTTTACTGAAAGGATCATTCAGTTTGAATCTAGTCTCATTGTTACTAAGTGTAGAATTGAGAAAGCTTGGAGTTGAAAGGATTTCAACAAGCTTTTGAAATTTCTGTGTAGAATGAGTTGATGGAGTAGATCAACTGGAGGTCTGCAGTTGAAATCTTCCATTTCCAAAGTAAAAATCTCAAATATTTTTATTATACTTTACCACCAGGAAGGCAATTAAATGTTCTTACATAACGAATGGATTCCAAGGAGAAAAATAAAAATTGTGCTTGCCCAGGTTTTTGGAGAGTTGTAACTGTATCTGTGAACTGTGGAGATGGCCAGGCCTGTGTCAGCTCTCTCAATGGACTCATCATTGAACCAAGATGAATCTAGTTACAAACACACTAGCTAGGGAAGTCATTACTATTTGGAATTCTGATTATGAGGATATGAAAGAAATTGCTGCTTTCTTTTTTTTTTTATCTCTCTTAATATTTAATAAGTAAATCGTGTTTGTTTTGGTTAGCTAGCTATCATCCCAGGCTTATTTGTTTATAGTTGGAACAAAGGGTCAATATAACATTGAGGCTTATGTTACAGTGCGTTATTTCCCAAACACCGAGTTCATTGAAGGTTTAAGAGAGAGAGAGGAATAGAGGAAGAGGGGGAACAGGAAGGAAAAGGAGGGAGAGAGGGAGGAGGAGGGGGGATATATGACTTGCATTCTTATCCCATCTTATCCCATATAGAGATAGAGATAGAGAGAGAGAGAGAGCGCACAAGAGAGCATGTGAATGAGAATCTATGATTGATTTCAGATATGGGGGCCTAAGAATCTTTATTTTTAGGCAGTCCCAAGGTGATTCTGATGAGTAACCTATAACAGCTACAGGTAGAAGGCCATGTTAAGTAATAGAAAATGAAGACGAACCATACTTCCAAAAGTGGTAGGAATTCTCAAGCTGAGTTTTGGCTTTTGAAATAGATTTGGATTTCTTTCTTATGGGGGAAATGCTCTATTTGTGTAGGAGAAATGTATGAATCAGGTTCCTTTTAACCCTAATTTGTGGAGCTAGTGGATACACCCCAATTTTTGTAAACTTCATTTTATGATATTAGTAAAAACTATTTAATGTAACGAGTTAAGTTGCTGCTTATCCAACAGGCTTTGAGGCTAATAACTCATTCCTTCCACCCCCCCCCCCCCGAGCATCGCGTGTTCTCTGGGGTGAGCTTTAGACATCATTGTTAACATTCCTTCATTGAATAGGATGTAGTGTCACTTGATAAAACCTCTCAGGGAGTGCCGTCTCGTGTGAAGTACATCCAAATTTGTTTCACAATTCTGCCTGGGAGCCTGCCATGTGATTCCTGATTAGTTTTCTCACTGCTGTCCCCTTCTGGAATCTATATGAGGGAATTGGATTTTCAGCAGGAGACATTGGAGTTTCAAGGTGGTGGTTTCTAATTCTGGATGGCTGTCTGTGCCACGTGGACAGTTCATCTCAGTTGAGTTGTTGCCTTTTTTTATTTTGTTTTTGGAGAATGAAAGTTCAGACTTGCATTCTTATCCCATATCTCTTTCCTGGAAAGATGGACATGCCTGAAGTATTCCAGGAAGTTGTCATCTTCTTCCCTTTCCTAGCTAAATGAAAAGCAATGACCCACCCATTGGTGTCTGCCTGGGTTTCAACACAACATGCCCTCACCATTTTTGCAGATATTCACATGCTTCAAATGCTGAGCTTGACTTTCAGGGGCTCAGAGACTGATGGAAGACTTAAGTGGACTATTAAACTCCTATGGAGAAACCCGTGGAGGCTTACCAAGACGTGCCTGGGATATGTTTTTTTCAGGTGGAAGGAGAAACATCTTTCTGCCCTGCTTTTCCACAGTGGGTGGTGATAATAATATATTTGTATAATATAAAAGGCTAAGTGTCTGTCTGACCTGTAGCCATTACATGAACTGAAAAACAGGGGGCAGGAGCTGCCATGATGTGCACTGGCCATTTAAAGATAAACGGCAAAATAAATGGCACCATGGATCTGGCCCGACAAACCAACACTCAGCTTCTCCCAAGTGGGACACAGACCCTGCCACCACCCCAGAGCAAGACCCCACCAAATCACAGCCAATGCTTCCAGGACCACATGGTGCAAAATTTGGCCCACAGCCCAGCCCAGCCCAGCCTAGCCCATGCCAGAAATGGTGGCTGTGGGCACCAGGTAATGACATCACATAGCAACGCCTGGCTTCCTCTCCCTAGGACTAGTCTCCTTGGAGTTTCATCAGCCTAGGAACACAACTTGCTTTATAGCCAGGTGCAAACATTTTACACTTTAATCAGATGTCTGTGAAGCATTTTCATGTGCCTCATCACATTTGATCCTCACAGAAATCCTGAAGTAGGTAGATAGGAGACTAGTAGAAATCTATTTTCTTTTCATTAGCTGGAAAACAGAGATTTAGAAAGCTTAGAAACTTGACCCGATTACAAAGAAGTAAGAAATGGTGGACCTTGAAAATGACTTCAGGTTTTCTCACTGCTCAGAATATAGTCAAAACACTGCTGTAGTTAAATACTTTATCCTTTGTTCTCCCTGGGTGATCTACAATAATAATCTGCTTTGTGTTGCTATTTACTGCTGAATTGCTGACAATGACCTGAAAGAGAAGTTGGAGTGCTTCACTGGGCTGGAAAAAATTTAGCTAAATCAGAAAGAACTAATTAAGCAAATTTATTTTCTCTATATAAAAGGCTAAGTTGTCTTGCACATGCCTGATACATATAAAGCTCTCACTGGTGCCAATCACATGCTTATATTTTAATTTCATTGTCGATTGTGAATTTGGTTGACATTTTTATTATAGAGAAAGAGCAAATAGTGATATTAAAATATTTCTTCTAATTAATTTCCTTTCAATGTGCATGAATCTGTGCACCAGTACACTAGTAATAGTGAAGATGACAATGTGGTGGGTTACAGATGGGGTATGACTTTATTATCAGGGAATGGGAATATCTCTTGTACATATTTTTTTCATATACCCTGACCCTTTTAATTGCTGAAAGTCTATATATCAGTGGAATCTAATAGATTTCTTAGCTAACATTATATTCCAGCTAATTCAACAGAACACACTGCACAATAGTGCTCTTTTTCTTGATGTCTCTAGATCAGTGATCGGCAAACTGAGGCTCACAAGCCACATGTGGCTCTTTGGCCCCATGAGTGTGGCTCTTCCACAAAATACCCCGTGTGTGTGCGCATGTACAGTGTGATTGAAACATTGTGGCCCATGTGCAGAAGTCATTTTTCAGCTCTCAAAAGAAATTTCAATAATTGTACTGTTGATATTTGGCTCTGTTGAGTAATGAGTTTGCTGACCACTGCTCTAGGTGATGCTGAGTAGATTAAGCCAGTTCATCCTCAAACTGGTGTAGTCTTCTGACTGCCATTAGTGATTCTAGCAGCTTCTACGATAGCCAGCTATCACCCCAGGGTCTTATGGGGTAGATCAGTTCTCTCTTTCCGTTACCACTCCCACCTTGCTGTCCTAGAAGGAGCTATATTTAGAAAGAGATTTCTAAACTTAAAAAATTTGGAGCACTGCACAACAGTAATATTTTGCAATTCTAAAATACATTTAGTTGTTAAAGTACCTTCGATGCATTGTCTCTTCCTGTGAGGAATGTCTACATTTTTATTTTCCTCATCCTGTGGGTGATGGAATTGAGGCTCAGAGAGCTAACAGCTAGTGAGTGCTGTGGCCTCACGACTTCTGGACTGGTCTCTAGTGCTCATTTGCACCCCTCACCCCATCTGTCTATCTCTCACAAGCAGGGTTTATCCCGTGTCCACACCTACCCCAGCAAAAAAAGATAGTGGCAATTGATGAAAGAATTAACGGTCACCACCGTCTGGTTTAGTGAACAGTATTTTCACATGGCTGAGACTTCTGCTTACATATTTGTGGAAAGCAGTGGGCCTCAGGGAGAAGAGGGCCACGGAGCTGGAGCCTGCTGTGGGAAGCCTGCACGAGGGTGGCCCCCAGCTCTGTGGTGAGTCTGCTCACACTGTCCTCCCACTCCAAGGCAGCCAGCTTGGCTGGAGGTCTCAGAGGCCTTCCTTAGGCCGTTTTCCTTTGATGCCTGGGGGGAATTAGTTTTTTGTTGATAATGGGTAAGACAGGGCTCAGACTCCTCGGCTGCCCAGGCTTTTTGGGGCTCTGGCAGTGTTTCAATGGTTTGAGTTGAAAGATGCCTGTATTTTCACTACAGCAAGCCAAAATGTGTAGATTGGGAGAGATGTACCTCTTCTGCAGCTGACCCCATGGAATGGGGATGCATAATGCTAATTTGCTTTGCATCTTGTTAGCACTTTAGCTCCCCTTCCTTCTCTGCTTATCTAACCCAAGGATTTTAATGGTCCTTGTAAATCTAGGCTGTCTCATACACAAGGAGGGTTTTATCTTTGAGCGATGTGAAAGAGGAGGAGATGATGCAGTGAGGCATTTTCTTTCTGGAAGGATTTGTGCAAACAATATATAAACTATATTTCCTTGTTCCTCGTTAGCACTTTTTCTATGAATTTTTATGCCATTTTATGATGAAAATTTTGCAGTGCTGGCAAAATGTTAACTTTAGTGGTTTCTAAAGTTGACATTCATAGAGGATTGAAAACATCAAAAGGATACTAACGTTTTTGTAAATGTTTCTAATTACTCTCAACAAGTTGGGATAGGAAAATAGGCTTTATGGATATCAGTAGTGAGCAAGTTAGTTTATGATTGAAATTTGATAAGGAAGGGTTGTATGGTAGACAGCATATTTTAATGATTTCATGTCATAATATTCTCTGTACAATTTGGCCATAGAGACATGGGACACAAGAATATTTTCTTTTAGGGAAAGCTGCTTGGCACAGTGCAACTTACTTGTTGGAACTTTGATTTCTTCTGGTCATGCTGCTCTAGTAGTGTATTTTAAGAAAATCTTAACATATATAGCCCAATAGATTTCTTCCTAGCCTGCAGGGGAGACTGATTCAAAATGTATTATTAGGCTGTCATGATAGACCAAGAAATTCTCAAGTATGAACCCTTCATTAGTACATAGATAACCCCTTCAGAAAGTTGTCTTTTTAGATTGGAATTTCTTTGTTAATCAACTTTGATTTGAGAATGGCTTCTTAGTGTTCTGAGGAAAGGAAAATATGTTTTTTTTCTTTCCTCTCAATTGTGCCTTTAACTTTAGAAATAAGTTTCTGAAGTCATGGAACTGTGGAAGACGTCAAGTTCTCCACATGGACACCTGTACTTCACGTTAACCTGTTGATGTGCTCTGTACTAGCCCAAGTGTTATATATAAACCTATTAAGAAATGAAACCCAAGCAAACAATAATCAATCTTTATTTCAGCAACTCCTAAGGATTCCAACAGTCTCAAAGCAAGACCACGATCCAGGTAGTGTTTAATTTCTACTTGAATGCCCTCTGTGCCTGTCTCAGATTAGAAATACCAACCCCCAACCCAAAGCCCAACCCACAATCTCCTTTTTCTTTTGATTTGAAAGTTAGACTATGGGTGAGTTCACTGTCATGTGGGGCCTGACTGGAGCATGCAGTGCCACTGGGAGACTCTTAGTTTCTGTGTCTGTTGGTGCTAGAAGACAGTAGCTGCTGCACTCTGGTCACTTGATATGAAGTGGACTGTGTGATATGCCCCAGTTGTTGCAGGATGATAACGAGTAGGGGGAAGTAGCCTTGGAAAGAAGGAAATACAATTTAAAGGTAACTGACACTGAAATTTACTGTCATGATAAGGTGAACACCAAAAAGTAAAAAGTCTGGGGTCTAATCTATAGTAGGGAAAGAACATGCTTATGGTGACTCCAATGAGGTGTAAAGCTTCAGGTAAGCAGTATGTATGGTCTGTTTCATCCTGTATTAGAGCCTCTTCTCAGCTTCACTGTTTTTCAATCACTAGAGGCTAGCAAAAGAGGGAGGGAGAGCCAGGGAGGCAGAACTGTGGCTGACATGAGGCATCAGAAAGGAAGAGCAAGGACAAAATAGAAAGACTAATAGAACCAATAGGATATCAAAGAGAGAAGATGGTATTAGGAGCCCTCTTCACCAGTAGACTGCAGTGTAAGATAGGACACTACATGTGTCTTTCCCAACTTTTCCTTTGGCTCTTAGTGACTTTTTTTCTCATTTGGATATTAGGCACATCCCTAAAAAAGTGAATTTAAATCTGATCATATTTTGAAATACTGATGTTTAAGGAAATCTTGTTTAGTTATAAACATTACCCCTTAGTTGTTGTATCTTTTATGTTTGGATTTTCCAAATGGGGGTTTTGTTTCCTTGTTTATAGAAGGAACAAATATACATATACATATACATATACATGTTCATATTTTTAAAAACAATAGATACATGAATTCATTTTGGTAGGAAAAAAAGGCATAGACATTATTTCTCTCTGTGGTTACCACATTTATTCAACCTTTTCTTTTTTTAAAGGATGAATGGATCTTTTATTTTTAAAATATATTTTTGTTCATTTCAGAGGAGAGAGGAAAGGGGAGAGGGAGAGAGACTCATTGATTGGCTGCTCCTGCAGACCCTTTATTGGAGACGGAGTCTGCAATTCGGGTGTGTGTCCTGACCAGGAATTGAACCGTAACCTCCTGGTTCATAGGTCAGTGCTCAACCTCTGAGCCACACTGGCGGACAAGATGAATTGATCTTTTACATATTAGTCTCTAGGCTTTAGGATGTAGGAATAGTAACATTTATCTGCCCTTATAGTTGGAAAAACCTTTCAACTGCAGAAATCTGCTTATGTATTCTATGTTAACTGTAAATTGAACCTCACAGTTTTCACTTATGACTTTCTCTCTCTCCCAAAGTGAGTGAAATTACAAAATCTCATAGTTACCTATTGGATTATTAATCTCAATGGCTAAATTTTAATATATTATTCTTTTAGGAATTAGTCTGCTGGTCTGATTTGGATGTTTTTTATTTCACTACTCCTATTAGGGTCTTTACTGAGACCAAGAGAATAAAATCATCTTTATCCTCCTTTTTAGACTAACGCTTTGTAGAAATATAAGGTAAAGAAGGAAAAATCACTACTCGAATCTACTACCCTGTTTCCCTGAAAATAAGACAGTGTCTTATATTAATTTTTCTCTCAAAGTTGCGCTAGGTCTTATTTTCAGGGGATGTGTTATCTTTTCATGCGCTAGGTCTTATTTTCGGAGGATGTCTTATTTTCGGGGAAACATGGTATGTTAATAATTTTTGGTTACCTGCCCCTTTATATTCTAATTGGTTGCAATCACAGCTTTTCAGTATCACTTATTTGATATCCAGTTAACTTTCCATAAGAAAATATACAGGTTATATATGGAAATAAAGTAGCATGAGATATGTGGTAAAGAGTAGTATGATTAAGTGTGTGTGTGTACCACACACATTTTTTTCTTTTTAGTGAAAAATGTCACTAAAGCTATATTTGACATTAGAAGTTCTTTTAATTTCCAGCTAGGGTCTCTAATTTCTTTTTTATTTTAAAAATATTTTTATTGATTTCAGAGAGGAAGGGAGAGGGAGAGATAGAAACATCAATGATGAGAGAGAATCATTGATTGGCTGCCTTCTGCATGCCTCCTACTGGGGATCGAGCCTGAAACCTGGGCATGTGTTTTTGACCAGAATTGAACATGGGACCCTTTAGTCCACAGGCCGACACTCTATCCACTGAGCCAAACCAGCCAGAGCTCTAATTTCCTTTTTAAATCAAGAGTTCCCATTTGAAAACTTTGTCGTCCTTTCAGATAAATTCCCTTTTATTCTGGTTGAAAGTATTAGAGCATTCTTCCTGATACTTTCTGCATGCCTTTGCCTTGCCTGCCTTGCCAGTTGTGTGATAGGGACCACCCCACAGCAGGTCACATGCCATTACGGTGGCTTTATTAAAGATCAAAACATTGTATGGCAACAGAAACCTTAAGGAACTCATTCAGGAAAACAAAAACTTGCTATGTGAAAACCAGCTTTATGAAGAACTGAAGTTACCTAATAAAAATGGATAGATTCTAATTTCTTAAGTGGCACTCTAATAGCTAAACACAAAGAACAGTTTTCTGAGGTTACATTGTCTCTAGGACATATCGTTGACTTAAAGGTCATTTCCTTTTTCTTTTCTTTTTAAAATTTCTTTATTGATTAAGGTATCACATATTTGTCCTCATTCCCCCTTTCCCATCCCAAACCCCTCCCCATCCATGCCCCCACCCCTCTGTTGTCCGTGACCACTGGTTAGGCTCATATGCATGCACACAAGTCCTTTGGTTGATCTCCCCCCTTACCCCCACCTTTCCCTACCTTCCCTCTGAGGTTTGACAGTCTGATTGATGCTTCCCTGTCTCTGGGTCTGTTTTTGTTCATCAGTTTATGTTTTTCATTATTTCCCCTAGATGCGTGAGATCATGTGATACTAGAGATACACTTAACGTCAGCTGAGAAACTGAATAGAACTATTGTACACATTCACCTCTTAGAAAATCATATTGGGAACTCATCCACAAACCTATTCACCTCTTAGAAAATCATATTGGGAACTCATCCACAAACTTATTCCTAAGCAATAGACTAATGTATTGAGTGAAATTACTTTAGAAAGTAAGTAGTCTCTAATAGTCTAGCTGCTATCACCAAAAGATTTCTTCCCTGGCTCATAGGCAGTATCAGACCATTTTTGAAATGGAATTTGGAAACAGATAGGACTAGAATTTAAATTGAACCTATGCAACTTTTTGGTTGTGTGAACTTTGGCAAATTATTTAGCTCATTTTCCTTTAAATGTCATTCTTGATGTTACCATCTCAGAAGTTGCCTAGGTAGCTATAGCCTTGTCACAAATTGAGGGAGGAAGGGAAGAGGAGGCTTTGCTTTAAAAGTTTCCCCAAACCCTTATTTTTCATGGTAAGAAAAACTAGACCCCTTGACCTGATTGGCGTGTATTTTCCTTTCCTGGATTTCACTTGTTGCATTTTCCCTTGAACATTTGAATCTTACTCTCAGCTTGTCTGTCCCTGTCATCACCTTTGCATGTAAACAGGAGAAAGGTTCTGCACTCAGTTACTAGCATGATGCCCTTTTACTAAAATAGGGAAGTACCTAAGCAAAAGGGTTTTCATGCTATTCTTATTAATAATTCCAGTAGAAACATACTTTAATTTACAGAAAGTTTTTCTTTTCAGTAAATTTTGGTTTAAGATATAATAGGAGCAAAGAGGTTTAAAGATTCTGATTCACGATTGGGGTTTGGGCATTGTGGCAGGTAGGGCCTCCAGGGGACAGTAGAATTCATGGTTGCTTTGGGAGCTTTTCAGTCTTTTGCAGTCACTGACTTTTGTGGGTATTTTCCATTTCAACCCAACTTCAGAGAGTAAAGCTTTGCTGCCTCCTTTCTGACTTTCCCTTATTTTGCTGCAGATCTTACTCTAGCACCTCCATAGAAGAGGCCATGAAAAAGGGCGAGGACCCTCCCACCCCGCCACCGCGGCCACAGAAAACCCATTCCAGAGCCTCCTCCTTGGATCTGAATAAAGTCTTCCAGCCCAGTGTGCCAGGTGAAGTTCCCCTCTGCACCCCAGCCCTTCCCTTTCCTGTTAGAGTCAGTGGATGGGTGTCTGCCACAGAGGCCTCCGTGAGCCCAGAGAATGAGCAGACCTGGCTGTCTCCCATCCCAGGAAAGTACACTTACTATGAGATTCTTGGGAGGGAAAGCAGTTCTAGACAGATAGATATCACATGTGTCTGGAGTCTTGCCCACACTTGCTCTGGACCAAGAATTCTGAAATTCTCTACCAAGAGGATAAAAATGCTTCACTCAGACAGCCCACTGAGTGTGTGACTGGGGTCTTGTTATCTGCATTCTGGTAATGTGTATATAAGATTGTTGTCTGTCATTTCCTCAGTTCTTCTATGGAAGATCTGGGTGAGCGGTGCCTGGCCAGAATGCTTTGCATTTTATCCCTGTGGCGAAGATCCTGTGTCCTGTTGGTTTAATGTTGAGGGGATGGACTCTGCTTTCTAAGTCTGACGGATGGTTAGGTGGTAGATAGAGGGGTCTAGGGTAAGGGCTCCTTCAGGTGGGATGCTCTTGGACTTCTGGGGCTGTGACTTTCTTGAGCCAGCTGCTGTAGAGCTGGGCTGGAGTGTGAGTAGTGTCAGAGGGGCCTGACTGCTCCCCTGGCTCCCTGTGGAGTATAAGACTGGGGGATCTATGGAACAGAAGATGAGAATCATGTCTTTGCTTTGCTGAAGGTGATAGTATATAGCACCATCCCAAGTGTTATTTTCAGAGCAACAAGGGCCTTTCCACTGACTAATGCAGGCAAGCTATAAATACACTGATTTCCTGGACCTTTTTATACCTATGTGCATTTTAAATCAAGCCACCCTCATATGCTAATGATTTGCAGATTATTATCTTTTCTACTAAAGCAAGAAAAGACTCCTTGGCTCACACATTAGCATGACCTCTGTGTCCTGGCAGAGCTCAGCATGTTTTATTTATTCTAATAAAGTACTCTCTTCACAGTAAAGTTATAGAATGTTTTTTAATATACTAGAATCTGGAGCTCTCTCTGAAATTTGATTCTCTGCCATGAGTTCATCAGATAAAAATTTGCCTTGAATTTCCCCCCATACTTTGATCCAAATTCTGGCATAATTTCATAGTAACTAGTATCTGGGGTGGGAGTATCCATGGATGACGATGCTATAAAATTTTTACATGACTGGTGGATTATGACCTAGAAGATTTTCTGTGGATGCAAGAAGATTAAAACAGTCTGGGAAGCTGTCTCAATATGTTTTCTTTGCAAAGAGAGAGGCTAGAAACACAAGCATCTCACAGCCAGCTATTTGGAGAATGGATGTGCTGTGGCTTTTATGACATTGCATCCTAGAGAGGAAGAGACAAGACTGGACTCAGAGTCTTCCTCAGCTGCTTATTAACTATATGATTTTCATCAACTGGTTTAATCTTTCTGCATCTCGGATTCCTAATCTATAAAATAGGGCCAATTTCCAGAGAATTGGAGGGTTTGGGTGAGAGTATGTATGTATGTATGTATGTATGTATGTATCATCTATCTATCTATCTATCTATCTATCTATCTATCTATCTATCTATCTATCTATCTATCTATCATCTATCTATATCTATCTATCAAAGCCTAAGCGACCATTATGACCAGAACGACAGGTCGACCAGTCACTATGATGTACACTGACCACCAAGGGGCAGATGCTCAATGCAGGAGCTGCCCGCTGGTAGTTAGTGCACTCCCACAAACAACCTCCCGTGGTCCCTCTCTCCCAGCTGGCCTGATCGCTGGCCAGGCCTAGGGACCCCACCCATGCACGAATTCGTGCTCCGGGCCTCTAGTAAATATATAATCCAAATGGCAACATGTTTGGCCCATAGGCACTCATTCCTGGAGCAGAATGATGAGGGAAGGGAGTCTGAGGAGGATAAAGCCCTCTGACTTCTTTGACATTTCCTCCAGGGTCACAGTTCTGTGATTTGTCCTCCAACTGTGTGCTGTAGTACTCCATTAATAACACACCTTTTCTTGACTTTCTTCCCTCCTGCCCCGTGTCACTTTCCCCACATAAAATAAAATACCTGTTCCTAAATCCCCATCTTAGGGGTTGCTTTTGGAAGAATCTGAATTAAGATAGCTTCTTTTAAAAATATATATTTTTATTGATTTCAGGGAGGACGGAAAAGGGGGAGAGAGATGAAATATAAATGATAAGAGAGAATCATTGATTGGCTGCCTCCTGCATGCCCCATACTGGGGAAGAAGCCCACAACCCAGGTATGTGACCTCACTGGGAATTGAACCATGACCTCCTGGTTCATAGGTCAACACTCAACCACTGAGCCATGCAGGCTGGGCTCAAGTACAGATATTTTACCTCCTTGGTTAAGTTTATTCCTAAGTATCTTAATGTTCATATTGCAATGGTAAATGGGATTGTTTTTCTTAGTTTCTCTTTCTGAGACTTCATTATTCGTGTATAAAAATACCATTGATTTCTGGATGTTAATTTTGTATCCTGCTACATTGCCAAATTCATTTATTGAACCTCATAATTTTTTAGTGGAGTCTTTATGTGCAATAGCATGTCATCTGCGGATAATGACAGTTTTATTTTCTCCTTTCCAATTTGGATGCCTTTTATCTCTTCTTGTCTGGTTGCTGTGACTAGGACTTCCAGTACTATGTTGAATCAGGGTGGTGAAAGCAGACATCCCTGTCTTGTTTCCATTCTTAGGGGAAATGGTTTTAGTTTTTGCCCATTGAGTATGATGTTGGCTGTAGATTTGTCATATGTGGACTTTGTTATGTTGAGGTATGATCCCTCTATTCCCACTTTGCTGATAATCTTTATCCAAAACATTTTAATGAACAGTTTAAATTGATCACATGAAGAAGAGAGCAGTGCCGGAACCGGTTTGGCTCAGTGGTAGAGCGGCGGTCTGCGGACTGAAGGATCCCAGGTTTGATTCCGGTCAAGGGCATGTACATTGGTTGCGGGCACATCCCCGGTGGGGGGTGTGTGCAGAAGGCAGCTGGTCGATGTTTCTCTCTCATCGACGTTTCTAGCTCTCTATCCCTCTCTCCTTCTCTCTGTAAAAAAAAAATCAATAAAATATATTAAAAGAAAAAAGAAGAGAGCAGTGTGAAACAGGTGATACCATTGCATTTACTTAATTTGTTTCCATGCTGATTAATTCTCAAAGGAAAGTACAAAGATCTAAGTTATGTAGAATTTTAGTGTATTGCATTTTGCTAGATATTACTTACTAAAATCCTGACAAACTAGGAAAGCATGAAGTAGACTATAAACCTATCAAAATAGTGCACCCAGTGAGAACCATGATGCCCATGTAGCAACCCCTCAGCTACACTTGTCTTTATATGTCACTTTATATGTGATCAACTGGGTCACATTATGTTGCTGTGCTATATCCTGAACTTCCCAATTATTCATCTTTCTATTTCATAATAGAGAGCTACATAATTTCTTTTCATGTCTATGTGATATGGATGTACCAAAATTGCTGATGCATGGATGAAGAGTTTTCTCTCACCCTGTTTCCTCATTGTCTCTTTCCTACACTTTTCTCTCATGCTCACACACTACTCATTTGTGTGTGCTCTCCCTTCTCCTTTCTCACAGAGCCCACTGCCTCTCTTTTTCTCCTTTTCATTTTCTCTGTGCTCATTACTGCCCCTTCCCTTTTCCTCTATTTATTTCTCTTCTCTTTCCTCCTCCCCTCCTCACAGTCATGAGCCTATCTTTTTCAGGCTCCTCCACCAAACTCACATTGCCCTCTGATCATAAACAAGGCAGAAATGTTTAAGGACTTTGTATCCATATCTTTGTTTCCCCATCTATTTATTTTCTTGGGCTGAATCATACAAGTTATGACAAAGGTCATAGATGTTTCAAATATAGATATATGTTGCTAAACTGGGCTGTAGGAAACTTGGACCTATCAGCTTACCCCACGGCTCATGTCTGAGTGTTTTATACACACCCTTGCCAACTGGTTAATGATCACCTTATTTATTGTTACCAATAATGAATATTGGAGATGGGGAAGAGAGAAACATTGATGTGAGAAAGACACAGCAATTGGTTGCCTCCCTTACACTCCCCAACAAGGGCCAGGGATCAAGCCTGCAATGGAGGTACATGCCCTTGACCTACAATGGAGGTACATGCCCTTGACCTACAATGGAGGTACATGCCCTTGACCTACAATGGAGGTACATGCCTTTTGGTCTGCAGGCCAGCGCTCTAACTACTAGCAACTGGTCAGGGTTATGCCCATCCTTAAGTTGCATCATTTGCCTTTTAATTGTTGAATTGTAAGGGTTCTTTATACATTCTGGATACAAGTCCCTTTTCAGCTATATGATTTACAAATATTTTCTCTCATGTTGTGGATTGTCCATTCAACTTTTTTGATGGTGTTCTTTGAAGTACAAATGCTTTTAATTTTTTTTAAAAAATACGTTTTTATTATTTTAGACAGAGAGGAAGGGAGAAGGTTAGAGAGAGAAACGTGGTTGATGGACTGCCTCCTGCACACCTCTTATTGGGGATCAAGCCCACAGCTCTAGGCATATGCTCTGACTGAGAATTGAACCAGTCACCTCTTGGATCATGGGTCAGTGCTCAACCACTAAGCCATACCAGCTGGGCTTAATTTTGATGAAGTCCAGTTTATCCTTTTGGCTGCCACTTGCAGTTATTTGTCTTTGAACGGCAAACTAATACCTTCTAGCTTTCTAAACCGGAATCCTTGCTTTCAGGCCTGATCTTATTTGTGGTAGGGTTCTATTATTAGATGTAACACTCAGAATTCATAGTGACAGAGCATCGGGTTTCCTTTGAGCTTCTCAGTATTTAATAAATAAAAGGTGTTGGCTGCAGTATAGTGTTATTTTTGTCATGAGATTTGAAGTCTAAAAGTTCATTTTGAGCATAGAGAAGTATATATGGGCTGTTGGGCCAGATGAAAATTTTCAGAGATAAAAGT